TTGGGGGGGGGAGGGGAGTGTTGTTGTTGATTATTTTGGGTTTACTGTTCATTCGTTTGTTTTGAATGTATACTGCCGGTTATTTCATTATCGAAAGAAATATTAAATAATACTGACTGCAACTCAGACAACAAATTAAAAATACCTCCGGTGAAGAATGTTACTATATATCTAGCGAGTGAGTTGGTTTTGGTTAAAGAATGAAATAAGAAATATCACTTGTTGCATCTCAGACCAAAAGATTTATCATTTTTAACGTGTATTGGTCACGCAAAAAAATTAAACATGTATATGGATTTAGGCATTACAAATAAAAAACCCATATAATATTGAAATATTCCTTCTTATAACTCAATTAACTTTTCATTAACTCCTTAAAGGCCCATTCAGAAATTTTTTATTTATTTATTTTATTTATTTTATTTTTAGGGACAATTCTATAGTTTTCAAAAGGTTTCCCATTGGCCAATTACTTGAAACATATTTTTCTCCTGCTGCTTTTTGTTTGGCAATCTGTACAGTTTTATAGTGATTTAGTATTTTGTATGGAAGTAAAATACTAGTTTATTTAAACTTACTACTTTTACGATTAATAATTTTACAGTAAGCGTTACTTTTTTGAAATCACAAGCATCTAACATGCTTTAAAACCATTATTTAAACGTTATAAAACTCATATTTGACCTCTCTTAAGAAGTTAAAACTTATTCATTTCTGGGACATATAGTGCCTTAAATGCTCATAGTGGTGGCGAGTACAAACTACCGTCCACACCCCTAGCACCGGCAAAAACAGGATCTTATTACAAAACATGAACATGGTCATTGCTATCTATGCTATATTTTGTTTGAAAATCTCTACAGAATTCTTCCTTTTAGAGTTAAAATTGCAGTATTACAAGTTGAGTTCGTTGTTATCAATTTAAAAATGCTTTATTGCATAATACTATCATAATTCTATTATGTAATATGCTTGGCTATTTTAAAGGCCCATGATTCCTAGAAATACGAGTACTTTTCTCTTATACCTCAAAATATTTTTTATTTGATGTCCTGCTCTAGTTAATCGGCCATTCATCTGTGTCACATTTTGCTTCTGTTGCTTTCTGGCAATAAGTACAGCTAAAGTGATTTAGTATTTTGTATGGAAGTCAAATCAATTCTTTGTTTACATTTTGCTACTGTTTATTCGATTCCAGCACATTAAAGGATATGAAGTATTTTCGTCTCATCAAAACCAGTTAAAGGGACAGAACTTCGACACATGTAGTTTCTTCCCTTATTCTACACTGGCACTGTCCTAGGATAATTTCAGAAACATAAACATACTATAATATCAATTAAGTAACTTAAACAAGATATTTAGAATATTGTCGGTAATACACATAGTATAATATCAAGACATTTTCTACATTCTCCAGGCTAATATCTGAAAAGTCTTTACAGATTTCAGGGGAATAGCAAAACAGTCGAGAGTACGAAAACACTTGTTCGTGTTATTTACTTTTCGCCCCGTCAACGCAAGAAAATGCCAAGAAGCAACACAATAGGGAATTGTGGTACTTTTGGCGTTCTTTCATCGTGCCCTGTAACACCGCACTTTGGGGTCAAACGCACTTTGGGGTCCGACCCCAAAGTGCGTTACGTACTTTGGGGTCCGACCCCAGAGTGCGTTACGCACTTTGGGGTCCAATTTCGACCCCAAAGTGCGTTAAACAGGTACATATGCATTTTTTAACATCATGCAAACGACCGCACTTTGGGGTCATAGAAAATTTATGTTCATTATGTTTTAAATAATATATTGTAGTCAAAGCCAATGGTAAACAAAAATAAGGGTATTAAATAGACACAAAACATGTACCCTGAATTATAGTAGAATCAATAGGGATTTAAATGGTCTTGATTAGTAAAAGAAGAACTTTCACCAAATAAATCACCAAATAAAGAATGTGTATCAATTAATAAGCTTAAAATATTTTATTTTTTTCACAAATTTTCCATTTATTTTAAATGAATGTACACCTTTCATTAACTCCATTGTTTTTAGCTAAATGCACTATTTTCCCGGTTTTTATTTACACATTTTATAGAAATATGATAGTCTTAGCATAGACAAAGGTATAAATTCAGGGAAATCTTAGTAAGACATTTCAATAAAAATGTGCCTGATAATATGTTAAAAGAACCATTTATTTAGCTAAATGTGACATATAAGAAACTTGACTAGGTGTAGATGCGGCTTTAAGTAGTAGTCCGTACAGGCAGTACTAAAAATATCAACTATTTAAGCAGTCGCAAATTAAGAGCGGAGCTTCAGAATTTTGTAAAATTCTTACTGGGGGTATAGAGGGGATTGTGGGGTATCGATCCCCCGAGGATTAAAAATAACGTTTTAAAGACCCATTATGCTTTTATTTGTTTTTCTTAAAAGCTTTTTATTTTGATGTTCTTCTATATTATCCAAAAAAAACACATTGGCCAATTACCTGAACCATCTTTTTCATCTGTTGCTTTTTGGCAATGATGAGTACAGTTATATAGAATTAGTATTTTATATGGAAGTCAAATACTACAGTGTTTTGACTACTTTTATGACAAATAATTTCACATCTACTGCTACTTTATTCAGGTAACAAGCATCTTACATTTCTCTTATACCATTATTTTAACATTATAAAATTCTTGTTTGCTCTTTCTAAAGAAGTATGTAAGATTTCCCATTAAAAAGCCTCTGACGAACGGTTGTTACGGAGCTTACAAAAAATGCTTCTGTTCGTTGATAAGCTTAATAATGTATTTGTAAAAATCACTATTTCTAGTTCGATCGAAAAACTTGATGTTTCACCAGAACATTGCAACAGAGTATATTTATAGTTCTTTGGAAAAAAAATATTAACTGCATTTTATTTCATTCCCAACATATTTAAAATGGGGCTCAATATGGCTCCAAAAGTTATCAAGTAAATGAATCACAGAACGGGACATTTTTCGCAGCATCTTTTAATTCTAGGAATACACAATTTCTGTACTAGAGTATTTTGAACGGTGGCATAATAGTAATTTTTGCATTTTTTTTGATACTTTTGTTTTGTTTTTCGTACATATTTTTTGTTTGTTTGTCGTACATATTTTTGTTAGTTTTGAATACATACTCTTTTTTAGTTTTGCATACATATTCATTTTTAGTTTGCATACATATTTTATTTTAGTTTTGCATACATATTCTTTTTAGTTTGTATACATATTTTATTTTAGTTTTGCATACATATTTTATTTTTGTTTTTTGTACATATTTTATTTTTGTTTTTTCTTACATATTTTTACATGACGCCATTTGCAAAGTAGAGGTTTGGATAATTACGCCATTTGTAAACCACCATTTTTAAACACTTCGCCATCAGTAAATTACAGTACCCCATATACAAATACCAACTTTTTCATTTTTGGAGGTATCAAAAAATAACAACACTTTTTAGTATATATAAATATATAGTCCGCGGTAACCCAAAGAAAGGTTCTGCATATGGTCTCGATGTGGTTAACATTTGCTGTCACAAGGTGCCTTAAAATCCTTCATGGGGTTTAGGAGATTAGGAGCGGACAAGAAACCCAAGTCTTTATCCTTTGACCTGTAGGTGTGACCCCCGATCTTGAGCCGGCACACCTGGCATATAAGTTCTGCACATTATCTGGATGTGCAAAAGAATTGACCCAAGTTTCATAAAAATCCTTCAAAGTTTTAAGCATTTTTTCTAAATCAGTGGAATATAAGGACCTATTTAGATCTTTCATTGTGCATTTATAATTGTAATACACCAGTCATTTGTAACCATCTCCCTTGCCCCCGGGGAGTGCGGGTTAAAAAGAATCGTGTTTTGATGTTTGCGCTGTTCCGGGGCACAAGGCAGGAATGTTATTATCTGAGTTTCCCCCGCAGGTCGAAGATTTTACCAATGGTCGGCTTGGTCTAAAGTAAATGCCCCCACCCCCGCTATTCTCAGGGGGTGGGGTAGAGTGGTGCATATTCATGGAATAATAACTGATCACCAATCAACAGCTCTTTCAAAATAGACACTAATATAATAGTATATAATAATAAAAAACAATAATTATATAAAATACATATACTTTAAAAAATGGGTCGAGAAGGGTCGGCCGAAACCAGACTTGCCCGGCCGAAAACGACTGGGCCGATTCCAAAAAAAAGGCCGAAATGTGACCAAACCACTGTGCTAGTTTTATACTCAACTATGGGCTGTTATGAGATGTAAAGGCTGTTTTGATTGGCTAAGATATATACGAAAAAAATCAAAAATAAAATATGTACGAAAAACAAAAATAAAATATGAATGCAAAACAAAAAAAGAATGTATGCAAAACTGAAAAAAATGTGTATGCAAAACTAAAATAAAATATGTATACAAAACTAAAAACAAAACATGCAAATGTCACTTTTATGCCACCGCCATCTTAAACTCCACCTCAAATATTTCAATGTCGCAGATCGAAAATAAGTCAGTATTCAGTATTTAAGCAGAACTCAAGATGACATCTTTAGACCTCTGGAACCCAAAGTGCGTTGATATGTAGCATATCAACGCACTTTGGGGTCAATTTCTCGATTTTGACCCCAAAGTGCGTTTGACCCCAAAGTGCGGTGCGAAGTTTAACGCACTTTGGGGTCGGACCCCAAAGTGCGTTTGACCCCAAAGTGCGGTGTTACAGTGCCCGTTGTTTTTTTTTTTTTTTTTTTTGTTGTTTTTTTTTTTTTTGTTGTTGTTTTATATTTTTCATTTTTTTTTATTTACTTTATTTATTTATTCTTTTTTGGGGGGCGAATATTATCATAAAACCAAAGTGTACGCAGAAAATATTTTGTTGCTGTCGCTGTTGTTTTTCTGCCATGGAAGTGGGAGGAGGTGAAGAAGTTTCAAAAAGGTATGGATATAGATATGTGCAGATCAAACAATAATGAGGGAAAGCAATGTCAATTTCACACAATATTTATAATGTTTTATTGTAAATTACTTACTATTATGTACTTTTATTAAGTCGGTGGAACAACAATTGTAGCAAAAGAGATTATCCTATGACGTTTTGATACTTAAATCCTGTTGGGATACAATTATTTATATTTGGTTCCCACACTTCATTCAGCGGACATGTCTTCACGTATGCGTCTCCATATGCATCGCACTGAATGAACCGGTGCGGGTCCCCTGGGTACGGATAATATTGTACATCGCCACCAGTATAATCTTTTAAACATGGATTTTTGTGTCCATCATAGGTAACTCCATTTGGTCCGAACAAACTTGCTACAATATCCCTGTATAAGCAGGTCTGAACAGCCGCGGAGAAATACTTGTGTTCACCGCAATCAAAAACTGTACCTGTATTAGCAAAATTACCACACTTAATATATTTTCTGTCATCAGAAGGGAATGGCCAAATATATAACCCATGTGATATATGCTCAAAAGTGCAGGGATTATTAAATGGTTTCGGTGTTGTTGGCAATGCCACGTGAACAGTGGTTGGCGCATGCGTAGGATGATATACTGGTTTCGTTGGCGCCTGCAATGTCGTTGTTATTGCAGAAGCGTGAACACAAAGACTCAAGGTATTATCAAATCTCTGGGTCGGCAAGCAATACACGGCTATAAGGTGTCCAGCGTTGCACATGAGATAACGGTCCGTCTTCCCGGGGTATGACGCGGTGAATGAATCTGTCTTCCCGCACACATTTGGAATAAACGGTTCTGAAAGAAATAACTTTCTGAAAAATTTCTGTGTTTACTGTTCCATTGATTAATATATAACCCTATCACTTTGATGCAGTTTATTTATAAACTTACGAAACATTTGAAAGGGCATTGCGATATAATGAGAAAATCAAACATTAAATTGTTTTTTTAATAAAATGCCATTAAGGACCTTGTGAGGATAATCATGTATATATATGCGAGCGTGCCATATTGGTATTCCCTAAATTGATGACGTCAAAGCGGAAAACACCCCCATCACCAAAAGGGTAGCTTAAAATAGATTTCAATTTGTTTTATTTGTCGTGTAAAAGAAAATCAAATACCTGGTGTTCCTTTGATAATGAAAGGGCTGTCAACTATATCCTTTTGGCCACAACGACTCACCAGACCTGCTTCTATACAAACCTTATGATCACCTGTAATATATCAACATCTCTTATATTAGTTATAAAGATTTTGACAGGTTATATAGCCTTATATTAACGGTTGCTTGCATATATAACCCAAGCCGCAAGGCGATTGTTATATTGCAAACAACTGTCTATATTATTAGTTATAAAGATTTTGACAGGTTTTATGGCCATATATTAACGGTTGTTTGGAAATATAACCCGAACTTAGGAGCGTCATTGAAAAATGGTTCTTTTACTCTTTAAACAGTCTTTATTTTGGGTATGTGATGAAAAGAATATTATATTCGTATAGGTTTAATACTGATTTTATTGAACTAGTTGAATAAAATAATCTTATGCTCACCAGAGGCTCACACAATTCGTTCAATAAAACCAGTATTGAACCTACACTCATTTAATATCCTCTATCTTTTGGACAAATACACAGCTTCAAAGATCAAAGATGAAAAAATAATATAGATTTTGTAGCTGTGTATGAGTCCAGTAGAATCAGTATTGAGCTTATCAATGTAAAATGACCTCTTTATTTCACAGCACCACCATTTTTAACATTTTGACATAAGATAAAAGCGCTTAATAGCAAATTAATATACATGTAATTATTAGAGATTGCGCTCCTTCCTGATTAAATAAATTATTGAATAAATAAGTAAGTAAATAACCTGTGTGAATTTGATCTCCTATTGAAATTTTCACTTTGAAGCTTGAATGGCAGTTGTCGTTCCTAAAAGCTAAAATAATCTTGGAACCATCTCTGACGTACACATCAAGAGGAACTTCTGTGGTTACTGATTCGTTAAAGCTATAGATGGCGGAATTAGGAACAAATGCGGTGGAGCCCGAACCAAACACACTTACCGCCCCGTCTTTAGATGTTACCTGAAAAAGTAGTACACTCTTTTAGCGCATTAATCTGAAACAAGAATAAATCGGCCGAAATAAAACTGGTTAATTTCTTAGTTTTCCATGCAGTCATATAGAAATGTTAGCATAGCTTGCATAACAATGCCATAATAATTTCTTGTAGGGTCATTAATCTTGGAAAATGGAACATTGTAAGATGTATGGTTTTCTTAACAAACATGTCGTACTTCGGTAAGTGAACTCAATTTCTAACACCAACAAGAACTATCCTTTACATTTTAATTTAGAATGGCCAATGAGAATCCCATATTCCATTTTGTATTTTTAAAATGACCAATGAAAACTCTTCTTATACTCATTTCTTCCCTGTAAATTTTACAGAAAGTCAAACTGAAAATAGAGCCGTTTTCGGCCGTAAAAAATGAAGAAAAAAACAGGGCGTTCAACCCTTTACTGTTTTAGATATAGAGGGAAATAAAGTATTTTCTATAAATACAGGATTTATTGTCATCGAGTGGTATTAAAATAAATATATCATGAGCGGCGGCAGCCATGAGAGAAATATTAAAATTTTGATACTACAAGCTTAAGATAAATCCTGAATTTATAGGAAAAAAACTTGAATTTTCAGTTTATTATATGCATTTTTGTCTTCTTTTTTTTCTTTTTTTTTACATCATAATTCAAAAGACTCACAAATGACACTTGTGTATTGGCTGAATTAAAAAAAAAAGTAGCCCGGCAAGACAACAGTGAAAATACGGAAATACGTATGTTTCAATGTAGTGAAAAATAAATTCTTACAGTGGAAAATATCAGAAAATGAAAATATGCATTTTATTTCATCAATATTACTTAACATTTCATTTACATGTTTGTATAAGTACAACATAAAAATATATCTACGAGAATATTAACAATACTGGCGTCTTAATTATAACACATTGGTGGTTCATGTAATAAATTGGAAAAAATGAATCCCACAAAATTAATGAAAACGTTGTTATACGATTACAGACAATATACATATACACATACAAAATGCACTTTGAACTGTTCAAAAGGGTTTATAATTCATAATTAGAATACAGGAACTTTGTCTGATAAACTTTTGATACATATTGTTACTTGCTTTTTATTATCATATTACTATTTCAAGTGTGCTGCTTAGGTATGGACAGAAACCTCAAGTATATTCAACTTATTCTTAAGAAACTGATGTTAAGTAAAGCTAAGTAAATATGAGACGCGTCACGACAAAACCAACATAGTGCGTTTGCAACCAGCATGGAGCCAGACCAGCCTGCGCATCCGCGCAGTCTGATCAGGATCCATGCTGTTCGCTTACCAACCCTATTACAAGTAGAGAATCTGAGAGCGAACATCATGGATCCTGATCAGACTGCGCGAATGCGCAGGCTGGTACGGATCCATGCTGGTCGCAATTGCACTATGTTGGTTTTGTTGTGACACAGCTCAATTATATCATTATGTCTAACAACAAGTAATGTATACATACCTGAACTGTTTTTGGTCTGCCTGTTGTTTCCATGACTACAGTGGTGACGTCAGAGGAGCAATTGAATTCGTATAAGCCTGGCTTCAATGCAACAGGTGCTAAAACATGATTTTATTTTAAAGTTATAATTCCTGTTAATGCAAAATATATTCATGCACCAGTCAATTGTATCAAACTTCCGACATTTTCCGTCTCAAGGTTTTCACGGCAAGTGCGGTTGTTAGCGGACCTGAAGATTACCGTCCGCCTATCCTCCACACAGATTTATGCTAAATTCAATGGTTTTGTTTTAGAGCCTTAACAACGGTGCTGGATACTTAGCGGGGATTAAATACCGTCTCACTATTCCCGCAGGGCAGAACTTTTACCGGGGAAACAAGGGTGCATTGTCACAAAAACGCCCGTCACAAAAGTTTTAGGTGGATATGTGGGCGATAAGAAGTGTGACAAGCAAGTAAGTCCCTGCAAATATTTTTGTTTTTATCTGAAATTTTACCTATATATGTGACCATTGCCTCAAACTGGTGAAAACTGGTGCCAAGTTATATTAAAATCCCCAAGTTTTGCTCAGGACAAGCTGTTTTCAAAGAGATCTAAGATGACCTTGAACTTTGACATAAAGACCTGGTTCATGCGCAGTACACTACTTCTCGTGCTGTTGAAAGTTTCTTTAAAGTATTATAAAAGTTCTTCCATGCATGAAGGAGATATGCTCTAGACAAAATCTTGATATTCTATCATCTTTAGTGATCTTGACCTTGCATATATTGCCCTAAATTACATGTGTCACAGCCGCAGTCATGATAATGACCATTTGCGTTAGAATACCCCAATAAAATAACTAAATGGTCCATTTACGCATCTTTATATCTTATCTGAGCTTTGTCCTCTATTTGTGACATTGACCTTTGTCGCAGGGACCTGAATTTAGCGCGACGCTCCGATTGACAGTGGTGAACATTTGTGCCAAATTATATTTAAATCCCTGCCTGTAGGCATGTAGAACAAGCATTTTCCAAATCGGAATTTACATGTAACGTTCAATCTAAAAAAGAGTGGCGCAGTCTTTTCTATATGTATGGCAGATATATACATTGTATTTTATTTTAAACAATTCCTAATATAAACTGTTTGTCAATCGTCATATAAGAGCCAATCTTTAGAAATATATAATCAATTCAGTTGAACTAGGTAATGAACTAATGAGCATAATATCACTTTAATAAGAAATAAAGCCACATCTTACCATTAATTGCAAGACGAGCACCGCTGTGACTATCGGCAGGTAGCTGTGAGAAATTTCCCACTGTTTGTAGATGGCTACACATAGGTTCGCTCACCACTAGAGATAATTCGCGCTAAATATAACAACAAAAATATGAAAATTAAAAATATAAAAAATTGAACAAATACATATAATGTAGAACGATAAAAATTATCACTTTCTATTGCCAGAATTATATTGTTTAATCCGACTGCTACTCTAATCATTAATATTATTGTGATAAGTGAGAGCATACGAGTATATCAAATAACTCTATGACAATAACATCAAAATATAATGAATAAAAAATTGCACGGAAGGGCACCCGAGGACTTCCTCTACCATTGAAGCTGGAAGTCGCCATATGACCTATACTGTGTCAGTGTGACGTAAAAACCGAATAAAAAAGCAACAACAAATATGTATACAATTAATGATGCCAATGTTACGTTTAAGATGTAATAACGTGTAATAATTATAACTTCTTTTTTTCTCTCTTTTTTATTAAATATCTGGAAAACATGACCTATCGGAAGCATAAAAAACAGCAAGATAACATGAAAATTGCTGACTCGGTTTGAGTCTGTACGTGAGGGATAAAGAAATTGTGCAACATCCCTCACGCCCCCTAGCACCGGCTTGAGCAGTTCTCAATTCTCAACAGTTTAAAGTGCTGTTCTCAATGATCCCGAAGGACCAGAAAGATGTAACAACACTGAAGTGAAGTACGGAAAAACTTTTTACGGCTGTGACACCTCACTTAACACCTGCTATGGGATGTTTATAAATATATAGAAAAAAGTGATCTCTCTTGAATTGGCGAAAGAAATGAAAACGGTATTTTAATTATTTCTATTACAATTGCATTACTTTTCTTTGGCTAATATATCCCTACATATTCAAAAAAGTTCATACAGGTTCACATTTTTTTGTTTATTTTTTTTTATTATTTTATTTATAATTTATTAAGAATTTTATAATATAGTGAATTCAAAACAAACTTACTTTATCAATGAGACCACCCACTCCTACAGCAAACACTGTTACGCCATCCGCACGCAGGTTTTTTGCATTTGAGATGGTAGCGACATTATCTGCTGACCTCCCGTCTGTAACCAAGACAACGACCTTGGCAGCATTTGGCCTTGACCCCTGCTGAATAGAAATTAGATCAACGTGAATCTGATTAACACAATGAATACATAAACTGTTCTTCTTTTTCGGAATTATAATAGTCATTATATAACTGTGTAAAATTTATTATGCATGGAGATTTCTTATAATATTGTTAAAATGTTATTTGAAATACTTGTTAGTGTGCCTTATTTGAAATACTAGTTAGCGTGCATTATTTGAATACTGGTTAGTGTGCATCATTTGAAATACTGGTTAGCTTGCATTATTTGAAATATTGGTTAGTGTGCATTATTTGAAAAACTGGTTAGCGTGCATTATTTCAAATAATGGTTAGCGTGCATTATTTCAAATACTGGTTAGTTACCTTAAATATGTAGTCTTGAACATACTGTAGCGCATCGAAAGTGTTTGTTCCCCCAGGTTGGTATGGGATCTTTGATATTGCTGCACGAAGCTGGGAAGCAGACATGCCATTGTCAAGACTAATCGAACTGAACACAACATTGCTGAATGCTACAGCTCCGACATGGGCCTATTTTATCAAAATTCAAATAGTTAATCAAACTTAATATATAAGAAGGTTCTTGATATACAAGAATATCAATAAAATAAACGTTTAATTTTGTTTTGAGTTATCATAGAAATATACTAGACGAGCAGAGATTAAAATGACCATAATAATCATAGTGTGAAGAATAAGAAAGTCAAGACGGTCTCCTGAACATAGCATACTTGGTTCCATTATTCATTGAACACTTAACCTACTGATTTCTTGTAATGGATTTCTCCAGATTTGGATATTTAACAATCTATTCAAAGTTTAAGTGATTTCAATATCAAACTACAACAGCTGAGCTAACAACAGTTTAGAGCCTGGTTACTATGCACGCACGTGCAGGCGGCTTGCAGGGGCCTGTACTGACAGCAAAAGCTAATATGTCTCAGTTCCAACAGGGTAAGGGTTAAATCATCCTGCCTTTTATCTTTTATTTATTTTGTTGTTGTTATGAGATACCATTTTAGATTCAAGTCCACAAATAAATCGTGAATTGCTTTGATTATATTATCTATGATGTTAGTAAAACTAATACTGTACCTTCAGGTGTTTTAATATTTTTAACGATTCCTGGCACAATATTTAATTATTTATCTTATATATATTTCTAGTGCAGGAAGCTAACTTTGACGTATCGCTAACGACAATAGTCAGTTCAATTCAGATTTCTATCAGTTCTAAAAGTAGCAAATGTGTTTTTACCAAGCCACTATCGACGTCAAGTTCGGAGATGAAGTTTTGAACATAGTGTTTAGATTTGTTGAAGTCTGCCTCCGACATGCTAGCACTACTGTCGAGAACAAACACAATATCGAGGTTCTGCTTGAGAAGTGAGTCTTTAATAAAATAAAATAGAGAGCAACATAAGTATGCTATCAAATAATGAATCTTAAAGGGACTCCACTGAGAATTTTTGACATAACGGGAATGGAGATAATTTTTTAGACTAATGCTCCATATAATGTAGGTCTAGACTAATAATTATACAGTGCAAAACTTCTGATCATTAGCTCACTCCATTTTTTTTTCAGAATAAGTATTTTGAATGTGAATAATATTCCAAAATTTAAAAGCGTTGCAACGCTTTTCATTCAAATCGGGCTAAAATTAGCACAAAATACGATTTTCAATTATCTTCATTATCTTTTGCACATTTTAGGCCTTATTATGTTGAAAGAAGACCCTCCAAAGTTGTACAAACTCGAATTTGCAAGTGTTCATGCTGATATTTGTAAGAAATACAAATTTAAAAATCATATTCTAGGCTTTTGGGTCTTATAATGCATAGATATAACATAATGAATATAGGAATATGGTGGTATTAACATATCTGTTTAACGTATAGTATATGACATAGCAGTTCAGTAGCAGTATTTCTGTCGACTACGATATTAAAATATGTGTTACTTTAAATAGTTTTTGCGGAAAAGTATTTTTTATCCTTTTTGTTCGGTATGTTTACTTGATAATCTTATCTGTTCACCGAGCTACAACTTTGATTTTATAATTATAATAAAATATTTGAAAAATTAACAAAATACTTTTCTCTAGGTCTTGTACTGCGGAGATAAAAACATCTAAATCTTTCTTTCCATGGTCCGCCCATAGAGATGCCTGCTGGTTGAGCGTCAATGGGATCCCTCCGGATTTCAAAATGGCCGATAATTGTGCGGCTATGGCGGACAGTAGAGGTTTGCGAAGGTCAGTGTAAGATACCGAGGTCCAGTTTATATAGAGAGCCTTGTCAATATCTTTACGGTATTGGTCCAGTGCTGGGTCTGTTTTGGTAGCATTGAAGTCGGCCTCGTCTATCTGTATGAAATTAATGTTCAAATATAGCTTGCAAATACACTAATGGCGTTAAATCTCCGTATAAATATAACTGTTACATAAACAAATGACATTAAATGGTTTACACAAATATCCTTATGACATTAGATGGTTCGTATTTAAATATAACTGTTACAAAAACTAATGACATTAATTGGTTTACACAAATATCCTTATGACATTAGATGGTTGATATTTAAATATAACTGTAACATAAACTAATGACATTATATGGTTTATACAAATACCCTAATGACATTGGATAGTTCGTATTTAAATATAACTGTTACATAAACTAATGACATTAAATGGTTTACACAAATATCCTTATGACATTAGATGGTTCTTATTGAAATATAACTGTAACATAAACTAATGACATTAAATGGTTTACACAAATATCCTAATGACATTAGATTGTTGGTATTTTAATATAACTGTTACAAAAACTAATGACATTAAATGGTTTGCACAAATATTACTGTAAAATATCCTAGTGACATTAGAAGGTTCGTTTAAATATAACTGTTAAAAACCTAATGACATTAGAAAGTTCGTATAACTGTTATAAATCTAATGACATTCAATGGTTTGCACAAATATTACTGTAAAATAGCCTAATGGCATATGAAGGTTCGGATAAATATAACTGTTTAATAAACTAATGACATTAGAAAGTTCGTATAACTGTTATACAATCTAATGACATTCAATGGTTTGCACAAATATTACTGTAAAATAGCCTAATGGCATAAGTAAATAACCTAATGACATTAGAAAGTTCGTATAACTGATATACAATCTTATGACATTCAATGGTTTGCACAAATATTGCTATAAAATAGCCTAATGGCATAAGAAAGTTCGGTTAAATATAACTGTTAAATAACCTAATGACATTAGAAAGTTCGATAAATATAACTGTTGCACAATATAATTTCATTAACTGGTTTGCACAAATATTACTGTAAAATTTCCTGATGGCAATAGAATATTCGTAAAAATATAACCAGTTGTTATAATGAACACTAACGACAGGTTTGGAGAGACATTTATGTAAACTATCCTGACATTAGATAATTTGTACAAATATAACTGTTAAAATATCCTTCAAAAAATGTAAGATAAACTGCAAAATTAGGTATAATAGGTGATACATAAAGGTGGGTGTACCTTAACAGTAATACTCGAAAATATTTCGGGTATTTTTTGTCATAGCGGTATTACTCGGATAATTTTATGATTATTTAATGCCAGTGAATAAAACCACGGTCCCTCGTCCGAGCGACGAGATAGTGGGAATTCTTACGTTTGCATTTTCAATTATGAATGAATTGGCAGCATGAGTTTATTTATAAATTAAGGTATATGGTCGAGTAAATTCATTAGGAGGAAACATCAATTTGCAGACTGAATAAAATGGCTGAAAGATAGATCCATTAAAGGGACATCACTGAAGTTTTTGACATCTAGAAATAATTTCTCGAGATGAATAGTGCATTTGATGTAGGCCAAGACCAAAAACGTGCGTGCAAAATAACAGATCATTAACTCAGTCCTTTTTTTTCAAGACTGATTATACTAATTGTGAAAATGACCAAACACTGAAAATCGTTCCATCGTCTTTTACTTAAATGTGGCTAAAATAGCACGAATATATGATTTTAAAACTGTTTCCGAGTATATTTCTTAATCATATTTTGCGTATCTTTCAAGATCTGTGTTAGAAATTCAAATGTTCTGTTTTTCAGTTTTTTTTTAACCTCAGTGGAGTTCATTTGAGCCGCGTCACGACAAAACCAACATAGTGCGTTTGCGACCAGCATGGATCACGACCAGCCTGCGCATCCGCGCAGTCTGATCAGGATCCATGCTGTTCGCTTACCAACCCTATTACAAGTAGCAAAAATGATAGCTAACAACATGGATCCATGCTGGTCGCAAACGCATTATGTTGGTTTTGTCGTGACGCGGCTCATTTAAATTGCTCGTAGATATTCTGTTTTTAATTTAGATGATAAACTGCCATAAACTGTACTTACTTTCCAAATACCACCTTTATAGTTGATTTTGTATGTAAACGGGTCTGTACCGTCTTTCGTGTCGGTATAAGCCATTCGCCGTAAATATAGCATGTCGTCTGGGAAAAATATACATGATCTGTGTAGGATACTTATAACAGCCTCCACCACTTCCGTACCATAACTCTCGTCTGTACGTGTTAAGTCCACGCGCTGGCAAGTTCCAATTGTAAGACACACATAAATTAAAAATAATGATTTTAAAATCATGTCGTCTGCTTTCTAATACCAGCTGAGAAGTGTGGAGTATTGTGCGGGTATCTCCGTTGACATGGAAGTATTTATATATCTTAAAGTGATTGCGTGAGCGGTAAGATTAATTCGAATTTAAAATTGTCATTAAGAAGATGTTAGGTGTAAACATGCATCCGTTGTGATGCATTTTTGATACTGTCATGATCTTATTTCCTTGTATATTAATTTTTTTGTCCTTGCGTCAATAGATAAACTGCAAACAAACCACTGTTTCAACTGTAAATTGTTTAAAGCAGTGGCATCGCTTGGTAACAGTTAAATCATAGATACATTTGTGACTCAACATTAAAATAGAACATTTGTGAAATACCCTTGTCGCTTAAAAACGAGACATTTCAAGTTCATGCATCAGGAGATATTGCTTAAATGTTTAACTTTTATCAAGGAAAAAGTGCACGTGCAGTGTGAAAAAAATTTAGCGTTTAGAGTTCAAAATGTAATTGTAATTATATATTCTTAAGGTGCAAGGCATCTGTTTGAAGTTTTGGTAATTTTTTAACAAAGGCAAATAAGGAAACTTTAAACTAGCACAGAGAATTTTCTTAAACTTGACTAAAGAGATTAGTGATCGGGACAAATTGATGAAAAAGAATTAGGGGCTAGCATTTTAACTTGTTTTAGTTACCTTGCACCAAAAGTAAGTTTTAAATCTTTAAGGTCACTTTCGTGAGCACATTTTTCAAAATCAAGCATACTGAAAATTTATTTATTACATGTATTAATATTTTTTAACTTCATCTGCAGTCATTATAGAAAGGTTAAAATAATTCAATCTTAATCACACTTGCATTTTGATGTGATGCATTGAGTAAACAGGGTTTTTATTTCTTCTTTTCCTTCCAAAAAGGACATAACTCGAAGAAAATTGGTATCATTTCACATACTAGTAAAAAGGGTCTCACAATTTAGCACCATATGTGAATTTCCGCAGTATTTCAAAGTTATTCATCGGCCAGTTACCTTAACCATCTTTACCTATATGTTCCCTTTTGGCAATAAAGTACAGTTACACTGTTTTAGTATTCTGTACAGAAGTCAAAATACAACTTTGTTTATATTTTGCAACTTCTATGACAAATAATTTTACATTTAGCGCCACTTTCTTCAATTAACAAACGCCTAACATGCTTTAATATAATCATTTTTTTAAACATTATAAAATCCATGTCTGCCCTTTCTATAAAAGGAAATTTTATTTCGATTCTAAGGCATATTGTGTCTTAAATAAGCCTTTGTTTGGCATATCTCATACAAATCAAATTAAACAAGGCAATATCAGCAAATTGTAAGTGACTGTCAGCCTATTATGTTCGGTAGCTTTACTTCAGTGCACGTTTTTGTTTGCTGGTTCCAGTGCCCGGTAGTGCACGTTCTTGCATAAGCATTACCATGTGAATCACAGAATATATATTTCCCTATGTCACCGGGGTAGGGAAAGTACACGTGGTCTGAATGTTCGTGAATGCACGGGTTACTTATACCAGCGATCCCTGTCATTCCAATAGCTGTGTTGTTGCGTACATCCTTGAACACACACGCTGACGTATCATCGTTCCAAATCCGTCCAAGGGAACATGTAGATCGCAAAGCAATTCCGAAATGAGTGCACGTCACGTATACGGACTGGTTCCCGCATGGATCATTATGATACATGTCGCTGTTAAATAGTCCTTTATTTGCGCATGGATTGCTATAAGTGCAGCCGGAACCCATCTGACGGCATGGCAAATTTTCTATTGGACACAGGCCTACGAAAATAGTGTCATGCTGGTCGCACATGATGAATTTATGGGCGTCGACCGGATGAGGGTAGAATTCTAAGGAACTATTTGCTGGGTCGCATAGGTCCAATAGATTTTCACCTTATTCAAAAATATAACAAATTATTATTAAATAAAATCATTGTAAATGTATGCATCAAACATGAAGTCACTAGGATATAAACATACTACAATGTAGCGTGTACAGTTGGTTTTGGTTTTTGTTGTTTGTTTGGGTTTTTTTGTTGTTGTTTTTGGTGTTGTTGTTGGTGGTGTTGGTGGTGACGTTTGTTTTTTTTTGTTTTTTTTTGGGGGGGGGGGGTTATTTGTTTGTTGTTATTGTTGTTGTTTTTGTTGTTGTTTTAGGTTTTTTTAAGTTATTTTAAAAATAAAGGCGAAAAGATTTTTTTTCACTGAGTTTGAATTTAAAAAAATAAAGCAATGCTCAAACAGAGGTCTTATTGTTGTCACAGCATGGTGATTGGTAAAACGAAAACCAACTTGGTCATTCGGGGCTATATAAATCTTGTTGCTTTTGATAAAAACAGGATCAGTTTTTTCATGCGAGATATTATCCATACGCATTTAATATAGAAACATTAAAATAGTTTTACACAATGCAAAGGTATTGCTGATGTGTTGAACAAATATACCATTAACTATGCAAAGATATTGCTGATGTGTTAAACAAATATAGCATTAACCATACCAAGGTATTGCTGATGTATTAAACAATGGAAATAAGGAAAATAAGGACCAACATTTAAGTAATTTACCTACCAGGTAACAGGATAACATCATGTGATGTAAAACCCATCTCTAAGTCATTACATGGGCTTACAGTATCTGCAACAATGCAAACACCAATCCTACCTTTAAATAAGAAAAAAAATTAATTTGCGATAAATAAATAATACATGTATTTCAAAATAAATTTATTTTTAAAAAGCTCTGAAACGTGACTGTAGGCTGATTTTGAAAGATTAAGAAATGTGTCCCTATAGAACCCGAGTACCCCAACATTCTTCTGTTTTGTCAGTCTTCGGACGGACAGCGACATAGCAGGACTACGTGAGAGATACACAAGGCCAAATCTATATGCCCCACCCCCAAATTGGGACGTGGCATAAAAGACGTACGTATAGGATATACTATTTTATAAGTTTTAAACAGAGCTGGAAAAGTCATATTGAACGTGTTGCCTTCCATGCTAAGGGATTTATATGAGTCCAAATACATCCCATTTTGTTTAATAATCTATTTATTCTATACCCAAAGTATTTCAAGGAAAGCGCCAAAAGCTTTCAATTTCAAATTTATAGATATTATTTAGATACTCATGTGATTCTTTTTGCTTTATTCCATATCTGAGTACAAACACCGATCTTCTGTAATCTAGACAGATAGCTTCCTCACATGAAAGAATCCAAAGGCCATGGCGGGGTTCGAACCCAAGGCGGTGAGGGAAAAGTTGTGTACAGTCGCTCGACGGTAAACCTTGTCGGTACATAGAAGAAGTCGTTAACACATAATGTACTGGATCGTGCAGTGTTCAATTGAATAAATTCATTTGAGAATCAACGACTGGATGTTAATAATGAGTAATAAATAGTAAGGTGTGTAATAAATACCCTCGAACAAATCCTTCCCTTGTTTCACATGGACAGTAAAAGAACCAGTGCATGTATTGTTCGCTGATTGTTGAGAGACGTTGATGAAGATAGGGTCAGTTCCTCGGACATATAGCACGCCCGTGCTTGTATCTGGTGTACCAGAATTTAGTTTGACATCGTGCGCTGACTGGCTCGGGTTCATATATTCCTTTGCCCCGTAAAGAGTAACCTTACCACCTTGTGAGGAAACCTGACACAATTATATCGTACGCTGTTAGTCATGTAACATTAAATAACCCCCTATAGTCCAGGCTAGGTGATGGAAATTATTAAGAAGTGCTCTTAAGATATTGAAACTTCGGTTGTAAACCACGCCTTTAGAAAATTGCAATAAGGTTATCTCTTGTCCCCTGTAGTCTTGTTTAGGGGATGGAAATAACTAGGAAGTGCTCTTTAGATATTAAACGTTTGGTTGTAAAACGTATCTTTAAAAAGTTCAATAAGATAATCACTTGTGACTTTATGTAATTAACATGCTTTGATATATTTTCAGTTTAAACATACATGCATTTGATTAAAGCTCATGCAAAACAATTCCTTGCAACTTGTATTTATCACGTTTGACCAACCAATACTGGTGTCATATGAAGAATCATGGTCGTGACCCGAATATGGCTGGGACCAATGATCCCTGTGTTTAGAGGTAGATATCTTAACCACAAGGCCGCCGCTTCCCTTATTTTTCGAACAGAACAATCAAACGTAGTTGATGCATGTATGCCTGGACGTAAAATTATTTGAAAATGTACAATTGTAATAAAAAAGGTAATCAATTCAATTATCGCTACCTATATGCAATAGGTAATTGACATACATGTATGTAAAAAGGGACAAGAGCGAGTGGTCAAAGATAATAATTTATACCCACCATTACACTAACAGAATTAGTCGTGTCTGGTAATTTTGCTACTATAGATCTATTACACGGATACGTATAGTTACCAGCTTTAAGTAGCACAGGCACTGTAATGAGATAAAAACGAAAATACGCTGTAATGAGATAAAATACATGTACTGTAATGAGATAAAAGTACATACACTGTAATTAGATAAAAGTACAGGTACTGCTATGAGATAAAAGTAAAGGAGCTGAAATGAGATAAAAGTACAGGTATGTAATGAGATAAAAAATACATGTACTGTAATGAGATAAAAGTAAAGGAGCTGAAATGAGATAAAGGTACAGGCACTGTAATGAGATAAAAATACATGTACTGTAATGACATGAAAATACAGTTACCGTTTTGAGATAAAAGTACAGGTACTGTAATGAGATAAAAGTACAGTACTGTAATGAGATAAAAGTACAGGTACTGTAATGAGATAAAAGTACAGGTATTGTAATGAGATAAAAATACAGGTACTGTAATGAAATAAAAATACAGGTACTGTAATGAGATAAAACGAAAATGCGCTGTAATGAGATAAGAATATATGTACTTTAATTAGATAAAATTAGAGACACTGTAATGAGATAAAACGAAAATGCGATTTTATGATATAACAAATACATGTACTGTATTGCGATTAAAGTACATGAGTTATAATTAGATAAAAATACAGAAATTAAATATCTTAGCAATTTAACTAGAAAATTAAAGAACTGTCCTGTACAATTTATTTTAGAACTATCCTTTACATAGAGGATATTAAATGAGTGTAGTTTAATATTAAATTTATTGAACGAGTTGAATAAAAACATATTAGGCGAGCCTCTTACCACTACATACATCTCGCACTAATCTGTCAATACTGTCGTTTAATTTATGTATTTTATCAACTTGAATGGTGTTACGACAGGATGGTACCGACGCTATGTAACTGAATCTGTTGTTGAAAGTATTTGTTATATTTTCATTAACTGCTACCACGATAAGTGAAATACCTGTAAAAATGAAGCATTAGTAAATAATGTGTTTTATTATATACTTTTAAATGAAATATTGAGAAACATTGATGAAATAAAACGCGTATTTTCATTTCCCGTATTTTCAGTGTAAAAGAAAAGTATTTTTCACTGCGGTGAAACTTATTTTCCGAATTTTTACTTGAATGTGTCTTGCCAGACTACTTTCTTCAAAATTCAGCCAATACACAAAATTTAAGCAGAAATCTTTCAAATTGTAATGTCCAAAAAATGTATATAATAAACAGAAAATTCCAGTTTTTTTTCTATAAAAACAGGATTTATTTTCATCTTGTGGTATGAAAATTATCATATTTCACTTGTGTCTATCGCTCGATGAAATTAAAGCCTGTATTTATATCTTTAAAAAAAAACTTGAATATTCTCTATATACATGTATTATCCAACTTCGTTACTGAAATGCTGAGAGAGAAAAAATTTCCTCTATATATTAATTCATAATTTTGTGAACAGTTTTTGCTTATTCGTTTGCGATTTAAATTCTCATCATTATGCATTGTTAAGAATTATTAATAACGGAATAAAGAGGTTTTATATGGACGTGTAATAATTAATTATTAATCTTGTGGCTTAATTCCGGGTCTTTCAGGATCATCTCTCATACTTAGTGTGTTAACTTCATATATTCAAACTTATAGTATGATAGTTCAAACCCACCTTCACCCTCTAATTTTTTGGCTTCTTGTTTAGCTGATTCTAACTTAGAAATTCCATCTGTCAATAGAACGGCGACACGTGCTGAGCCACCTCGAGCGCCGTGTGCCGTTGTGAACATATTTTCACGTGCATACTTTATTGAATCCGCCGCAGTGGTAGGTCCAGCTGTGTACCTTAAAATCTAAAAAAAAATTTAAAAAAATTGAACACGATAATAAATTATTAATCTTATGGCTATGTGGTCTGTTAAACAACATAATGAAATAAATTGCAATAGGGAACAATGTTCTTGTTTTGTTTAAAGGAACATTATGCCTCAGAAACAATTGCAAGTAAATACTTACTTTTTTAGAAAGGGCAAACATGAATTTTATTACATTTATAAATAATGGTCTTAGAGCATGTGAGATGCTTATTAATTCAAGAAAGTAGCAGAGTAAGTAGAATTGTATGGCATAATAGTAGCAAAATGTAAACAAAGTGGTATTTGACTACAATACAATATACTAAATCACTGTAATTGCACTAATTGCCAGAAAATAACAGAAGCAAAACATGGGTCAGATAACTGGTCATTCAATATCTTTCTTTTTTTTTAAACTATAAAAGTACACCAAAAATAAAAAGCATTTCATCAATAAAAATAAAACCATTTCTGAGGCATATTGTGTCTTTTAAAGTAACTTAATGAATACGCTCACATATTCAACGCATAGTACTTTTGGCCTGCTGAAACCGGAAGTGCTTAGACATTGCCACCAGTATAGACCCAGGAAAGCCCGCTTATCCCTGTAGGCTGATTCGGTTCTACACACGCAGCTCAAATGTTGTAGTTTTTTATTTTGATATTTAAATCCTCTAAAAGCGAGCTTTACGGTAACACGAGTACCTGCTAAAAGTGATGGTTTTAAAGCTTTCGTCCGAAGTTCTGAATTGACACATCGCAACTTTTCGAATTACAAGATAACGATAAAAAGCGAGGAATTCTGACTGAAAACGGACGCGTAGACTGGTCACTCGCGCACTTCTATGGGAACCATAATATGGGACAGGGAACCAGAATGAACGGAAGCTGTGTATAAAATACCGAATGACAGTTTTTATTAAAACGGAAAATGTAAAATGAAAAGTGAACGCTTATTTTATACTATTTCACGGTAAAAGGGAATCGAACTCGCTTTGAGGCTTTGCCTTTTTCATATTATTCACTTGTACAGTTCAAAGCAGCCCAAATCGATGTTAGTGCTAGGTCTTCACAACTCGCCATTTCTTTTTCAGTTATCTAGGGCATAAATGTGAAACGCTTAAGTCCTATCGTAATATCATAATTCATTTTGTTACTATAAATACATACCTTTAATGCATTAAAAAGAGTGAATCCTGGTCTTGAACTGTTCAAATACCACCCGGCTATTGGTTGCCCTTTCTTGGTTACTATAGCAACCCTCGTGTTATCATTTTGTACCGGAAGTTTAGTTATCAATGCCTGAAGGTAAGAAATCACGTGCACAAGATCCGGGGTTGAGAGGTTATGAAAGTCAAGGACAATAGCAACATCAATTATCTTCTCTGGGTCGCAGTCTGAAATGATTTACCTCAAATTGTAAAATATTAATTATCGCATTAAATGAAACTTTTCTTTGGGAAAACTGATTTTCTTGTAAATTGACAGTAGCGATGTATTTAGACTTTATAAACATAACGATAATATAAATAGACATGTATAATACTTCAGAGTCTATTTATCTTATATAAAATAGAGGCTACAGTATTATACGCATAATCACATGTAATTGTTCTTCGAAATAAGCGGAAACGTTGGTAAATAACAATAAAAATTCGCGTGTTTTTTTATTGTTTTTTTTTTCTATCCTAAATTCTTGGAAGTAAGAAAAGAAAGAACTGAAACCTATGGATGCACGCATTGATAAATCGAGAAAATGCTTGAAAATGTATATAAAAAGGTCTATATCAAAATATACATAAAATGGTCTATCACATTAATGTTGAAGAAATCATATACATAGTTTTACCTGCACGAATACTTTGCGACTTTGAAAAGAAATCAAACGCCTGGTTGCCGTCACGAAGGATACCCCATATTGACGCCTGCACCTCAATGCTATCTGGAATACTACGTACATTTTTGGACAGCAACAATAGAGACGCTGCAAGGCCAGAATATATCGGTTTCCGGAGGTCGTGCCACGTGACATTTGTCCAATCAATGTTGAGATTGTTCTTAATTGCTCGGTAACTTTCGTATAATTTCGGATCATTCTTTGTCTTATCAAATAAATCTTGTCCAATCTGAAATAAAACAAATGATTTGTTCTGTTTCTTTAGTAAAAGAACGCGCAGACTCCAAATTGTAATCGAAAAGGTCAACAAGTTCTTGTGGCTAGCTCTATAAATTTATAGTTATTGGTTTATCAGATATGCAAGCGAACAGCATGGATCCTGATCAGACTGCGTGGTAGCTCAGGCTGGTCTGGATCCATGCTGGTCGCAAACGCATTACGTTTGTTTTGTAATGACGCGGCTCATATGGTTCATGAAGTGAAATTGTGTGAAAAATGTAAATGGTTATTATTGTAATACATACAATAATACATATTATTCAAGAAAAACTTAAACACAGCCTCAGTAGAACGACCCTCTGTATATCAAAAGCCTATCTATCTACAACAACAGTATCATTTTTCACAAAGACCTGCAGAAAGTAACTATTTTCTTTGCAAAAAGTAAAACCTTCGTAGAACACCACCTCGCAACAACGGCCAAAATATTTGTTTCCCAAAGGATAATGCTCTACAGATTTTTTTTCCTGTAAAGAATAAAGTTTTACAGAGTTTTATCTTACATTCCATATTCCTCCGTTATACCCCTGTCTGTATGTTTGTCCGTCTGTTCCATATGTCGTTTCAATGTTTGCCATCCGTATTAGAAAGAAATCATTGTCAAGAAGACACGTTTGTCCAATCAAATCGACTGTTTGTTGAACTACCTATTTATGCAAACATAAATGAATAACTGCGAGATAATAAATGAAGAATTCTTTTAATATTATAATTTTATAATTTTTTGATGTTGTTGTAGGTTCTTTGGGGGGAGTTGCGTTGGATAGGGATAGGACGTGTAAAAACCTACTGTAATGTTACTTTTTTGCAGAATGAAAATTATATGGATATGTTTACAAACAGCTGTTACACGCCCTACTTGTTTTAAAAAACATGCCAAAATGTACGGAAATTGATACGAAAATAAAAAGTTTATTTCCCAGAACCAAGTTATTTAAGATATTCTAGTATTGTGCTATAAGATTAGATATAAAAACAAACAAATTTGGAACGACTAATTGCAAGAAATATGGAGTGCTGTTCTGTTTTAAGGTTATTGTTGTTGTTGTATTTTTTTTTTTTTTTTTTTTAGCACCTCGATTATTGATTTAAAAACAACAACAACAACATATTTGTTTTTCAGCAAAGACAACACTATAGTTCGGAAGGTAAGTACTTGATTTCTTAACAAAAAAAATTAAGTCTAGTGATAATTAGTCTCACCTCAAGTCCTTTTGCACCATCTTTAAACACATCCTCACTAAACGCTGCAACTCTTTGATAAAGTATTATCAAAACAAATCCTCTGATTATTTCCTTTGGTCCTTTCATGTCCAATGAAACACCTATATATATCTACTCATATATATGTCCTATACAGACTTTTTCTCTCTGAGATTGCCAATGTCTTTAGTTGACCTTTGATATACTTATCTTTAAGTTATGCATGTATCTTGGGAAAATGTCAAGTCGATATAAAAGTATGTATGTCAAAAGTGAGATAATGTTTATATCTGTTCATGTCCGGTAGTTGTATCAGTAGATTTTAGATTTCAGTTGAATTTCAAGAATTCAATATAAAGATGATATGCCATTTTAATTTACTATGTCATGTTATCAATATAACCAGTGTACTAGTAGTGAAACGGAAATTTTCACTTTATAATTGTATATAGTTTCACATGGAGTGATATAACTTACATGAAACTAATAGTTTTTTTCTAAAAGTACAGGATTTATTTTTATCGAGTGGTCTGAAAGTAAATATTTCATGAATTAGTTGGGGCGCTAATTAGCGTGTTTTCGCTCCGCGCCCCCGGCATTTTAAATTGTTAATTTTCGACATTTCGCTAGGCGGGGTAGCGGGGGGAAAACACGAATGGCACAAATCAGCCAACATAGTTTATTATAGCTATTACGTAGTAAGAGACACAAAAGCCTAATAAGGAGTCTAAAACTCCCTCTTAGGACTTTAAAAATCAACTCTTTTGTAGGAGATACAAAAGATTAAGTAGGAGTTTAAAACTCTAACGAAGGAGATACAATGCCTAATTAGTTATTTAAAACTCCTACGTAGGTCTTTGAAAACGTAGGAGTTAATATAATTCCTACTTACTCTTTTGTTCTCCTACGAAGAATATATATATATAAAAAAGCATAAGTATGTGATTTAACTCCTAATTAGGCTATTGTTATACGGAAACGCCCCGTTCCAAATTTTTAATGTTCTATCAAAAATAAAAAAAAAACAACCCTAATTAGGAGTTTTAAACTCATACGAAGGACTTTTAAACTGTTACGTAGGAAATAAAAAACCAAATAAACAGTTGAAAACTCCTACATAGGAGGTGCAAAAACTTTATAAGGGGTTTAAAACTCTTACGTAGGGCTTTTATTTTCCTACGATGGACTGTTAAACTCCTTTATATGAGTTTATAACTCGTACGTAGGAGATAATAAAAATGCCTAATTAGATGTTTTAAGCCCCTACGTAGGAGTTATACAGTCCTACGTAAGAGTTTTGAACTCCTAATTAATTTTTATTTATATCCTACAAAATGTCCGTATTAGGCTTTTAAAACTACTTATTACTAAGAACCTTAAGATTTTGCAACAGGCGGTTCCGTACTTAAACACTTTTAATGTTTTCACTTTAAAAAGATTTTCGACCATGCGACCACATACATGCATCGAGGACATGATGATAGGAAAGTGACCGTGCGACCACATACACGCATCACAAGATTCCGCGCAGTCTGATCAGGATCCATGCTGTCCGCTATTAGTTTTTTTTACTTGTAATAGAGTCTTTAAGCGAACATCATGGTCGCGAACCCATTATGTTGGTTTTGTCGTGACACGGTTCAAATTTATTTTCGGTTCCAGCAGTGTAAGGTGCAGTGTTGTTAACCATGGTCATATTTGCACAACTTGTTTGATCTAAGCTCAATCAAAGTTGAAACCAATTCTATCACAAAGCTTTCAATCTGTCTTAAAGTTTATGTAATTGTAGCATCTTTAAACGTTCATTTGTTATATTTTCTCATTGAAAAGCTATAAACGCGAAATGTGCATGAAGAAACACTATTTAATGACACATATTAAACGTTATTTCAAGTCCATCAAATCAATGCCATTTCACATTACCTGAAAATATAACGAAAAAGCATACGTCTATAGACTCAACATTGAATGCCGATAACATATTTATTACATCCATATAATTTTTTAGTCGTAGTAAATCTTGTTTTGTCCTGTAACTGCGTGTTAATAAAAGTCCTCTAAATTTCGATGCATATTTCGCATTAACGTTCTTTTCTGTCATCAGAAAAGGTTTTCAGTGATAATATAAAGCTTCATTTTGTGCGGACAAATGTACAATACGAACAAAAAATAAAATAATAAATGAGTGAGCTTGATTTTATAGGTATTTCAGTACTTTGCCACTCTCGGATATTGAGAGTTTGGTGAGATTTGGTTAAAGAAATAAATATGTGTGAGTTAAACGCTTAGAAACTGCTGCTAATTAGTTCAAGACCTTTTATGATATTTAATTCAACCTAAATATAACTAGGATGTTCTTTGCAAAATCGATATGGACATTTGATATTCTTTCCGAACGAGACTTACTTAATTCAACTGTAAAAAGGCATGGAAAAGAAAGGTAACTCTTCAGAGCATATTGGAAGTACTTTCAACTAAGGAGTTGTCTCCCTTTCAATATAATTGAAATGTTGTATATGTTGTTACGTATTGGTGAGACTTAAATAAAGATTATGTATATATTGTGTATGGTTCTTTTGTGAAACTAAACTAAGAAACATGAGTGTTAAGACGGACCTATGTTTCTGTTCTGTATACATAATGTCCACCATTTCTGCCCAGATTAGATGAAATAAAGGTTCTTCATGATATGGGCCGTGTCACGACAAAACCAACATAGTGGGTTTGCGACTAGCATGGATCCAGACCACCCTGCGCATCCGCGCAGTCTGATCAGGATCCATGCTGTTCGCTTACAAACCCTATAACAAGTAGAGAAACTGATAGCGAACAGCATGGATCCTGATCAGACTGCGCGGATGCGCAGACTGGTCTGGATCCATGCTGGTCGCAAACCCATTATGTTGGTTTTGTCGTGACGCGGCTCATTATATTTTAATATATATAGTGACTTGCGTGTATGTATATATAAAATGTACATGTATAATAACGTCATATTAACACCTGGCTCAATATATGGAATATGGACCTTTAATAAGGTCACTTTCAAAATAGAGCTACCTCAAATGTTCACGTCAATCATCATAAGATTGCATAAGAACGCATTCACGATCTTATTATTATTGATATTCACTTATTTACTTTTTTTTAAATTTTTATATTCTTTTTTTAGTTTTTAGGGTTGAAAAGCATAAAGGAAATTCGGAAAATTATTAATACATAAATGAAAATGTCGTATGGTTCTTCTTCGATCTATTAAAGAATGGCTGTTTAAATTATGTCTGTAAAGGACATAAAACAAACGCCTTGATAATTTTATAAATAAAGAGAAACAACTTCTCTGAAATATATATTTATAAAAAAATCGCATGCGTGGGAAGTTTGTAAAAACTGAGGCCCGGTATGCAAGTTATGTCTAAATGAAATATAAATAACAGTGTGGCAATACCACGTGACATTGACGTCATTTTCGGCATCATTTCCAAGACAAATGTTGCTCGATTCGGAAAAGAAAAAAGCCGTAAATATTTTATTTTTGTACCAATTTCTTTGGGATATGCACCAGTCTACGGGGAAAAATATAAGCTTTCCACAGAATATTGGATCTTCGTCAGTTTATAAGCCGTTTTATCAAACACTTTGCATAACCTTGGAAGTTGCTTGTATTAGAGCGGGCTTCAGTTGCAAGCTATTTCGTTTTCTGGCGTTATCTGGTCTACGTCATGATTAAAAAGTCAGGTTTACATCAACCGGGAGTACGGAAGGCAAAACTCTACCTAAATATGTTCATATTTTTATTATGAATGACATAAATCTTACATTTTTCTTCAATTGTCAATTCTGGCACCAGTTCCAAGTCGAAAAAAAGGACTACAGTTTAAAGCAGATTTTAGAATCCGTTGCAAATGCAAAGCAACATGCCTACCGTTCTCTTTCTATAATTATGTTAACCATGAAAAACATTTTATTTACTATACGATTTACATAAACACAAATGAATATTTAAATGATTTTTACTCGCTGCGCTATAAGTGATTTTAAAAGTCGTAAAATTGTTGTCTGCATTTGTAAAGAAATTGATTTGCTCTTTAATCATTGTTCTTTCACGGTAATGATTATGAAAAATCTATTTGTGTCATGTAGCAATACTAAACGTGGAATTGAAAACAGAAACCCTAAATATCGCCCAAAACGGCAAAATTGAAAATGTTGCAGGCTCGGATTGACTTAGCTAGCCTGTCCAATGAACGTGCACATTCAGGATCACTTCGATTTGTATGCTGTGAAAAGGGTTACGCCTCAACGCGGCAATTTTAAAGTCAAAGGTTATTCTTTTGTAAAGAGTTATTTATACGTATAACCATATATATATAAAAAGAACCTGTAGCATTGTTTTAAAATAGTATGATAGATTCAGCTTTTTAACACAGTGGCACTCGTTGATAAAAAAATATTTTTACATCCTGTTTTCATACCCACAGTAACCGTTTTTCGTGAACTGGATATAACTTCGTTCACTTAAAAACACTATTAAACACACTATTAAACACTATCTATTTTATAATTGCATTTATTTCTGTTGATAAACTGCATATCTGACAAATTTAGTTAATTATATCAGTCAACTCAGCTTTATCAGAGAGCTCACCAATATACATTGTAAAGAGAGGAAGGGAACGGAATATTTATGGTTTGAACACATTTAAATCGAGTAGAACTTTTTAACAATAATGTCTCTTTCAACTGAATAAAAACGATAGGGCTATTTGGTACTATTTCTTATCGATGTGGTCATTGGCTGTAAATGCATGGATTATTGCACGCGGCATGACCTGCAGATGTCCTCAACAGGATTTTTGTAGCATTTTAAGATTTTAACAAGAGCCACCGCCGGGCGGGGGCAACGCTCGACTTTTTACTTTTTCTAAACGCAAACATAGAAAGGTTTGAACATATATTGATGTTTCCTTTTTATAAATTTAAATGGTCTGTCTTGTCACATTAGTTTTGTTTATATATTTTGTATATATATGAATAGAAACATTAAGCATATTTCTAAAAATAGCAACAGTACGCAATTTCTAAAAATAGCAACAATGACGCAATTTCTAAAAATAGCAACAATGACGCAATTTCTAAAAATAGAAAAAATGACGCAATTTCTAAAAATAGAAAAAAATGACGCAATTTCTAAAAATAGAA